GCACAATGGCCCCTCCAAAAAGTGAAAACTACACAACTGACCAATGAAAATATCTTCCCAAAAATATTTTCTTAGAAACCCCTGAAATAAAATATCTTCAAAAGATATTTATGAAAAACACTCCAAGAAAATAATAAGTTTTCGAAGAACTTTGCATCCATGCCCCTATGGACACCGGGAGCAACTAGAGTACTTTTCTGCGAAAGTAAAGATACGTATTTTGTGGAAACCACTTAAAATGAAGATACGTGAAGTAAAAAACCAACTCCGAACACAAGAAGTGTGGTTATGCTAAAAAGTGACAAACGGGGAAAAGACGAAATAGGGAAAAAGACGAAAAGTGAATAGTGTCCAAAAAATGAAAATGTGGAAATGACACAGTCCTCAAAGGAAGTTGTCAATCCAAAGAAAAGAGTCTCGGAAATCATTCCAGAGCACTCAAGATGACACCAAGTGACGAGAAACTAACTCAGAAAGGAAAAGATCAACGGCAAAAAAAAATATCCGTGAAAATCTGAGAAAAGGAAAGGAAGGAAAATGACCAGATCATTACAGTTTATGTTTTCAGTATTCAGATGTAGATAGTTATTACTGTTATTTTTTTCATTTTGGGATTTTATAGGGGTCCACATAGTATGGATTCCCGAGTTGTATTTTGGATGATTATTGTTATCAGAGGAGATATTCTTTAATGAATATTATTTTGAGGATTTAATTATTCTTTTAGTTTTCCTTTCAGCATTTTATTTATTCTTTATTTATCCTTTTGTGTTCTGTATTCGTTTAGTGCCATATTGTTTCTGATATCCCCGGGTCTTCGGGCGTGGGCCTAACCAACCCATACATGGAAATTCAGAGGTATCACATCATTCACTGTACTCATGTAAAACACTTACTGCATGTAAAACCTTTACTGAAATAATGTAAAATCTTTACTGAATAATGTAAAACTTGTGCTTAAAAAAAGTAAAATGGAAATTGAAGTAATGTAAAACATTTACTAAATAATATACAATATACATCTTGTAACTCTAAAAATAGGTCTTCAATGAAGCTATGCGGTTGGAAGGTTGTACTTCTCTTCGCCGAAATGTTCTTTGTAACTCCACGGGTTGGGATGTTGAAACAGTTCAGTTTGGTCACTAAAGTTTGGTCATTGTTTGCTTAGATCTTGTCGGAATCAATGGAGCTTTGCTGGTCAAAGCTTACTGTTGGGTCTGTCTTCACCGATGTGAAGGTCACTACTAAGTCTATGTAGCTTCACCAATTTGGTCTTTGTTGCTAACATGTTAGAATCAATGGAGCTCATTCACTGAACTTTCACTACATGTAAAACATTTACTAAATAATGTAAAATCTTTACTGAATAATGTAAAATCTTTACTGAATAATGTAATACTTGTACTTAAACAAACTAAAACGATAAATACAGTAATGTAATACCTTTATTGAATAATGTAAAATATACAGCAAACAATTCTCAAAATGGGTCTTTAATGGAGCTATTCGGTTGGATGGTTGTACCTCTTTGTCAATTTGTTTGTTGTAACTCCACAGGTGAGGATGCTGAAATAGTTTGGTTTGGTCACTAAAGTTTTGTCATTGTTTGCTCAGAGAATGTCGGAATCAATGGAGATTTGCTAGTAGGAGCTCACCCGAATTAATGAAGCTCATTGTTGGGTTTAACTTTGCCGACATGAAGGTCACTGTCGTGTCTCCGTAACTTCACTGGTTTGGTCTTTGTCACTGGCATGAAGCAACCTTAGTAATGGTTGTTAGTAAAGTAAAGATACGAGATGGAAAGAGAAGCAAGGGTTATTTAGTAAATTTCAAAATGTAAGGTTAATTTGGTCTCCATGTATTCATGAAAAGTAAAAATTGACATATTTGTAATTACTTTTGCCTAAACTATTTTTTGGTGAGTTTATTTTTTAGTGTTTACATTCTAGTAATTAACGCTTTATAAGATGTTTTTTAATTTATTAAATTAACCTTATAATAAATGTAAGTTCTTATATGTTATATAATATATCAAAATGCATTACGAATGGGTTTAGAGTTATTAAATGGAATCAACATAAATGTGGCCCAACATATTGCCAAAAAAAAAAAAAGAGGAACCGGAACCGAAACATGGAATCAGTTCATTTCAATTCTGGTTCCATGTCCCAGTAGTTCCGGTTCCAATTTCTAGTAACTGATAAACGTCGAATATTACATATTCAAGCGCCCTTTCTTGCATTAGTTAAGTCCATTATTAGAGGATAATGTACAATTTTAATTCAATTGTGTATTTCTTTCTGATTTCAGGTATTTTCCTGAGAATGATCAAAGAAGTGGTTTTGACAACTTTCTGTTGAAATACGTGCGCCGTGTCAGGGAGTCATCTTCGGGACCTAACCTCTTCAGTCGCCGTTTTTGTGAAGTTCGTGGCTTAATGTTCATAGTGGAAGCCACGTCAGTGCTCCGGCTCGGAAAGGCTTACGAGAAGCCTTGATTTAAAGCTGCAGCGGCAAGCTCTCGCGGGCGCCCGCCAATTCCCTCAACTCTCTGCCCCATTTCGCGGAGCCTTGCTGAGCCCCTGCAGAGGCCCCCGTGAGCTCTCGCCGGCGCTCGCCGGCGCCTCGCGGGTGCAAGCCGAACAAGCCAGTGCCACCCTCGCGAAGCCAAGCCTCCGCGGGCTCCCGCGAAACTGCAGTAGGCAGTTCAACTGCCCCTGAATTTCAGTTGATTAAGCTCTATTTTGGGGATAATAATGTATAATTTTTGGTCTTTTCATAATCTAGAGCATATTACCTCTTGTAATGAATTCTAATGTTTATAAATGATTGTTGTAAGTTAATTATCTTGTCTTAGATGGTTTCTTATATTAATCATAATGCTTGCATTTTCATGGTGACAATGGAAATAAGATTATGAATGGTTTTCAGGGCATGTTGAAAGAGAAACTTGATAGACCATTGCTTAGGTATCCCCTTTGATGGTTTATACTTGATTCCTAGCTTTATGTGCTTTATCATTTGATTTAAGGCTTGATGATCTTTTGCTTAAGAGAGTATGTTTGATGCTACACCCTAGTTTATGGATCATTCCATAATAAGATTTAATATTTTTGTAATATTTCCAGTAAGCCATTCATCACATTCCAATAAGGCAAAAATCTTTCGCATAGACATAAAAATCTTTCCCATTCCATTTTTCTCTTGAGCTTCTTTATTAGACGTGGTAAAGGTCTTTTACCTTCCATCTCTTCTGGATATACTTAGGGCTGCCATTGACAAAAAGTTGCTAGACCTTCAACCAAATTGCAGGTATTAATCTCTTTATCTTCTGAGTATATCACTTTTTTCTTTTTCTTTTTTCTTTTTTTTTTTTTCTTCTTCTTCCTTTTATTTTTTTTGTATATTTGTGTTGAAACGTTTGTGTGATTTCTCCATCTTTCTCTCTTCAAACATTTATATATGGAGCAATGAAAATATAAAATAAAAATTAACAATATGGAGTTAAAATTTGTTTTTCATGATGATAATTTTGTTCCATTATTATTAGGCTACGTTTGGTGTATATGAATGAAATGGAATAAAGCTTCGAATAAATGGAATGGAACAGAATGAACATTGCTTATTTGATTATATTATTGTGTACCCATCTCTCTATATATATATATTACAATAAACAGCTAAGATTTTTTACTCCCTAGAATTTTCTTCTAATATTTACAAGTCGGTTATTACTACTAGAATTTTCTTCTAGATATTTACAAGCCTGTTTTCTTCTAGATATTTACGAGTCTGCATAAGGCTCCGCTGCTCTAAAATATTCTCCATTATACGCCACCACAACGTTTTAGAATCCCCAAACACTACACACAATTATGGAAGATTCTAAAACCTAATTCTTTACACTTGTCGATAAGACGTCATATAGAGTCATCCTTAGTGTTTAAGTGTCGCTTGCGTTGCCCTCCAATTTAGGCATGGACCCAATTCAGGCACAGTGTGGGAGCAGATGCTGCCGCTAGAGTTTTTCCAATTTACATTATTACCAATAATTTTAATTAAAATTTCAAAAATGCCCCTTCTCAATTTTTTAAATTCCCCACTAAATTTTTTGTATTCAAAAAATAAACATCTCTTTTTCGTTATCTACTGCCTTTCATTCATGATAATCAATTCTCCCACACACTCTCATATTCCTACTCAATTTTTTTGACTACCCGCTATATATTAATAATCCAAAAGAAAGTAAAGCAAATAAATTCTCTTGTTTCTTCACTTTCTACAACCCACATCGATGATAATTTAGGAAGCACGAATATGATTAAAATGTCAAAAAATCTTGGTCTCATACCGACACATATTATGTTAGATACAACCCGACGTGTCAAACAAGCCATAAAAAATTGAACTCTTATATTTTTTATTTTATTTTTATAAATACGCGCGCGCGCGCAAGACTCGAATACTCAAGAAAGAAATTAACATATCATATCATTTGGGCTAGTGCGCATTGATATCTGCTCTAATTGTTCATTTGCATAAAAATGTAATAGAAATGATGAATAGGGGGACTGCCGTTTAAAAGTTCAAAAGTTGGTTGCTGTATTCAATTAAATAATTTAAATTAGTTTGCATATAAGAGATTGTTAACCATGCTATCCCTCTGAATGATGCTGTGATGTTCAATAAACTGTTGGAGAGAGAAGTCTCCAGAATCTTTGGCATCTTGCTTCCAACTTGGTATAAATAATAATAAAAAGTGTGTATCGAGTCATTGATAGCTCAAGTGTGTTGATAGCTCTGTCTCATATGCACACTCCATGCTCAAGATGTAAAAGAAAAGGACTCCTCTCCTTTACTTCCATGCTTTTGCGCACTTCTGGACAAAGAGAAGTGGTTGGCTGAGACAAACTCTCCCTTATTTCCTAACAAACTGTAAGAACTCTTTACAACAAGAATCATAATTTTTAGAATATAGCAGCAAGGAAAAAGAGAACCGTATAAATCAAAATTCTGCGACTAAACAATTAATTTGAGAACATGCCGAGGAAGGTCATTTACAAAATTGAGGTTCCGTTGTCACAACTACATGTTTGCCGGTACCAAATAAAAATGTGCCATACCACCATGGCCCCACACCTCAACAAATTGTAACACTACAGAAATGGATGAATCAGGCTCTTCAATTGTCCAAAAAATTTTGTACTCCTATATCTCATCCCAAGTAAAAAAATTTGAACTCTGAATGCTATATTGGAAGGAACGGCAATTAGTCTTCTTTCCACTTGTTCACGTACTTGAGGAAAGCAACAGCAGGATTTTCCCTAGGTGGGGCACGAACACGAGTTGATCTCCGGAGCACAGCCTCCTCCACTGCAATCCTGTGAGCTACCTCCTTAGATCTCTTTTGCAGCTCCGAGCTGTAAAAATGCGTTTAAATGGAAAAAATATATTAGATTATAAACAAAAATTATCTTATTGTCTTCTTCTAGCTTATTGAAAATAAAATTTCAGTCTTACTGTCTTTTACGAGCTTTTCTAATTCCAATTCACTGTCTCAATGATCAAAGGACCATAAATGTTTAAACCCAGTGGCCAAAACCTCTCTCAAATGGACAAAAATCTTAGCATAACTCCGCTTCGGATACAAGTACCAAAAAGCTTCACCATTAAAAGCCAAACTAATTCATGAAACATAATTCTAGAGTCACCAATCAAATTAACAGAAGAAAGTTTTGCTTCACCATTTAAAAGGTTGGGGCACTCATTTCTTTTAATGAAACCACCATGTTTAATCATTTTGTTAACACAACTAATATATGTAATTTTCAGTAAGTATTTTTAAAAGGCAACTACTCTGTATTGATCCCAGTAACTGGAGGTGTTAGGTGGCTGGGTACAAACCTAATCTTTAATAGTATTTGCATTAAAAAATTGCTCTCAACTCAAACCCATGTTCTCACGCTAGAGAAACAAAGTTTTTACAATTGCACCAAACAGTGGTAAAAGAAAGGAAAAACAACAAACATAATTACCATATAAATCTGATTAGTGAGGTTATCATTTGCACAACTTTACAGACCATTCTAAAAGACTGACAGACAAACATTTTGGGTCAATAATCATTGTAAAATTCAACATTCTATTATAAACATGTTTAAATATATCTATTTATTAGTCAAGAAAACTCGCTGGACCAAGTCACAAGTTGTAATAGGTGAATCCCCAACAAAAAAAAAGGCTTGGGAGCCACCCTATCATAAATTTATTAAATAAATAACAATACATGTATATGCATATATGTGGATGCATGCATATCATCATCATCATCATCCTTGCCTTAATCCCATATGAATGGGGTCGCCCACATGAATTCTCTCTCTCTGAGCTTTTCTATCACATGCCATTTAATCCACTATATTTACCTTTTTAAAATCATTTTTAATTACCTCATGTGTTATTTTTGGTCGCCTTCTCTTCCCCTTACCTTCTATTACAAATAGTCTTCCTTATTTGACAGGCACATCTCTAGGTATCCAATGTATGTGTCCAAACCATCAAAGTCACTCCCTCAGATTTTCTCACCAATGGGTGTTACACCTAATTTTTCTCACACTTCCATTAGTGACACTATCTCTTCTAGTCATTCCACTCATCTATCTTAACATTCTCATTTCCACTACGTGAAAGCACTGTTCTTGTTTCTTTTTTAGGGCCTAACACTGTTGGTTTAATAATAGTCAAGTCTACTCCCTCAGATTTTCTCACCAATGGGTGTTGCACCTAATTTTTCTCACACTTCCAATAGAGACCCTATCTCTTCTAGTCATTCCACTCATCTATCTTAACATTCTCATTTCCGCTACATGAAAGCATTGTTCTTGTTTCATTTTTTAGAGCCTAACACTCCGCTCCATACAACATAGTTGGCTTAATAACAGTTTTATAGAATTTTTCTTTTAACCTATATGTTATTCTCTTATCACATAAAACCCCATTAGCTTGTCTCCATTTTATCCAACCCGCTCAAATTCTACTAGTTACATCACTATGTATCTCTCCATCCTTTTGTATTATCAATCCTAGATAACCAAAGTGGTTATTTCGAGTAATCTTTTGGTTTTGGAGTGCTATCATTATATTTTCAATGGTAAATTACACCACACCCCTAAGGTTTGCTCTAATTACACACGGTGATCGAAAATGGCCTTAATTACACCGACTTTCCCTGAGGTTTGACATGTGTGCTCAATAACCCCCCTCCTGATAACTAGCCATTATAACCGTCAACAATTTTTGGCATTATGACGCTTTTGCCCATTCCCTTGATGAAAAGACGTTAGTAGCTTCATAAAATTACATTGATACAAACGGTGATTGCTAGAGTGCCCTTCCCTCCTCTCCACAAAATTTTTATGTTTTTTTTAATGTAATAAGTTTGATACATTTCCATTTTAAATTAATATTTTATTTCATTATATTATACATAGAGGTTAGATTTTAGTATCAAAATTTACATCGCAATTTTCCTATTAGTTACCCTTTTTAATTTTTCTAATTCAGCAATAATTTTTCAGATTTTTCAAATTTATAACTTTTTTTCAAAAGATTAAATTTCCAAATTGATCTGACAAAAATATATATATATTCCAAATTGATTCAGTACTGCAAATCTTCCAAATTTGTGCCCATACCATCACCATTGAAAAATATATTTTTTGATAAGTAACCATTGAAAAATATATAAAATCCCATCTTTTCGATACTATCTCTCTAAATCCAGATTTGAATCTCTATGGAAACTCAACACAGTTTAGAAAGTAAGAGAAACAAATATAATGTAGTCTCTGTGTGTTTTAAAGAGAGAACGAGTGAGACCCACAACGGATTAAATTAGGGCTCCATCACTCTCATTGAAGAACAAAATTTAGAGAATCAATATCTCATGTGATCCTGGAAGGAGGTGACGATCTCCACCTGTCAAACTTTCTATTCCAGTTACCAGAAAAGAAGAAAGAATAAGTTTGCTCTAGCTCCGGCTATCTTTCGCTAGCGATATCAGACGAATTCCAATTCCAAGTACCCATCACTAACTCCAGCAACTGCACCCCTATTCCTAATTCACAAAGCCGTCTTCAAAGGGTCCATGAGTCCACTCCAACGTCACTTACCAGATTCTCGAGCTTACCGCTTTATTACTCCCCATCTACTTAAGTGTGTCCTCTACCTCCATATTGGCAATTTTATTTATCATTCATTTACTTCTACTTCTTCTCTGGGTATTCCTCATTTAATATATTTTGAAAATAATTCTTCCAACTAGTTAATATATTACTTTCTTTGAGTAATATTGTTTTATCAATGACCTTAGTACATATAATTTGATTTAGGTATTTAGTTGATCTATCACGATTCTTTGCTAATTTATAAATAATTTTTTTGTCCTCTTTTGTGCCTAGTTTTTCATATAAGATATTTTGCTTTGTTTAGCTTTACTTACTATCTTCTTTGTTTCCCATTTGAGTTTATTATACGCGTCTAAGTCTTCTTGTAGTTTACCATTTTGGCCATGTTTTAAAGCTTTTTCTCTTTTGTTTAATTACTTGTTGCACTTCCTCACTCCACCATCGTATCTCTTTCTTAATAAACTTCTCTCTTTTAGTATCGCCCAAAATTTCTTTTGTTATTTTTTTTTTTATAAGTAAAAAGTATATTAGAAAAGCGGTCAAAAGGGGAACGCATCCCTAATACAAAAATGAAAAAAGGACCTAAGGACCAATAGCATCCAAAAGATCAAAGAAGTCAACAATCGAGGAGCAAGCGCTTCCTCTTACATAACAGAAAAGAGAACGAAGAATATGAATTTTTAGATTTGCTAAAGACGATTCCTTTCCTTCGAAGTTTCTGTTATTCCTTTCACCATAGACACCACCAAACGCAATGTGGAACAATCCTCTAATAATCATGAGCATGACCTTTGACTGGGCATCGTCTCCATGCGTTAATCAGTTGTAAGGAGTGCTTAGGCATTACCCAATAAACGCCAAACATGCTAAATATGAAATTCCAACAATCGTATGCCACAGGACAGTGCACAAGAATGTGATCCACGGATTCTCCGTCTGCTTTACATAGACAACACCAGTTAACAATGGTGTTACCTCTCTCTTTCTCAAATTATCCAATGTCAAAATCTTTCCTAATGTGGCAGTCCAAACGAAGAATGCGATTCTAAGAGGAGCTTTAGAGCGCCAAATAGACTTCCATGGGAAACCGTGACCAACGAAATTAGACAAACACAAGAACATAGATCAGACACCATACCTACCATGGGTTAAAGGGGCCCACAAAATATTGTCACACCCTCTGCCAACATCCTTCTGTCTATACAACAGATCCAAAAAAACACATGCTTCTTCCATCTCCCAATCTTGAAAGGAGCGCCTAAAACGCACATCCCATGTAATTCCACTGCTATCAAGTTGATAACAGTCAATTACGTAGGCGTGCTTATTGTCAGCAATACTGTAAAGTCTAGGAAAAGAGTGAGACAACAGCTGATCTCCGCACCATAAGTCCTCCCAAAATCGAACATGCCTACCATCACAAACCTTGAATATAATATGTGAGGAGAAAACATCCCAACCCTTCCGAATGAATTTCCACAAACCAACACCTCCCGTAGCAAAGACTGGACGAGAGGACCAGCCCCCACTCTCCTCTCCATAGCGACACGAGACAACTTTTCTCCACTGGCAATGGCGTTCCTTACGAAATCTCCATAACCACTTTCCCAATAGAGCTCTATTAAAAGGGACCAGCTTCAAATGCCTAAACCGCCTAATTTCAACGGTGTGCAAACTTGCTCCCAGTTAACAAGATGATACTTAAATTCCTCTCCTCTTCCACCCCATAGAAAGTCCCTCTAAATTTTTTCAATCCTTTCAGCAACAGAGCATGGGATTTGAAATAAAGATAAAAAGTAGGTAAGAAGGGACGAGAGAGTACTCTTAATGAGAGTGACTTTCCCTCCCTTTGAAAGATACTGTTTTTTCCATCATGCTAATCTCTTCTCATATCTATTAATCACCGGGTCCCAATTCTCCACTCTCGTTGAGGAAACTCCCAAAGGCAATCCCAAATAAGGAAGAGGAAAAGTGCCCATTCCACACCCAAGAATTGCAGCTAAGGAGGAAATATCTGCAACATCCCCCACTGGAAGCACACTCTTTCCAAAATTTCTTTTGTTATTCCCAATATAACTTGCCATTTTAAGCCACAAGCTATTTGCATCATCATTCCAATCACATTGTTTTTCCTTTAATATTTGTTCTTTAAACATGACTGCTTTACAACCTTTTAATTCTTTCCACTTAATGTTTTTATGTCCCTTTTTTGCTTTTTTATATTTAAACCCATTTACTACTATGTCTAGAATGTATGCGATGTTGGTTAGTGAGGCTCTCTCCGGGAATCACTTTACAATCTTTACATGAAGCAATAAACTTTTCCCACTTTTAAATGTTTTTTTTTTTTTTTTTATAAGCACTTTTAAATGTTATTAGATGCTCTTCATTTTATTTTTTTAAAGAAAGTGTTAGCTATTGCTAAGTCATATGCTTTTGCAAAGTTTAAGAGTGTTTCTCCAATCTCATTACGCTCTCCAAAGGCATACCCTCCATGGATCCATGTATATCATATCCTATCAACAACCTACATGTCATTAAAATCACCGCCTACAAATATGCTTTCATAGATATAGATTGTATCAATTCATCTAACGAGTCCCAAAAGGCAGTGTCATCTAATGCTCCTTGAGGAGCAGTAGCACTTATTATATTCAAGATATGTTCATCTAGAGAAATTTTTAATAGTTATTAATCTATCTCTTTGTCTTCTCACTACTACTTTATTCCTCATGTAGTGATCTACTACTATGCCTACCCGGTTTCATTGGTTATCTTTCCTTCCGGAGTAAAAAAGTTTATATCCTTCGCCAATCTCTCTAGCTTTTTCACTTTTCCATTTACTCTCTTGTAAGCAAATTATGCTTACTTTTCTTTGTTTTAAGGTATCTACTATTTCATTACACCTATTGGTTAACGTCCATATGTTCCATGTTGCTATCCTAATATTTTGTGACTCAGCCTCGTGGTATTTTTTATTTAAGTGAGAATTCATCAAACTGACTTGACATAGGTTTTACATTCGGTTGTCTACCCGACACTAACCCACCTCCTTTATGCATCCTGCCTTGGGTACTGGCAATGGGAGAGTCAAAAGGATGTATGCATATAAATATATATATATATATAACAAGAAATATGCATACATGTATAGTTAAAGAGATATATGCACAGGCAGAAAGAGAGGATATATTGGCTGCAGAAAAAGGTAAGGAATTTTGCTGCCTTGTAAAAAGGACTTGAAGGAGAAAAGAAATTGAGCTATCTTTTAATGGGCTATTCAAAAGAAGGATTCTTAATGTAGACATACTTGTAACACAAGAAATGAAGAAAAAGAGCATGGTTTGAAGAAAGAATGCAAACTGTAAAGAAATAAAGGGATATTTATGTCTCACATTCTTCACATACTTGGCAAACAAAAGTGAAAATGGGTTCCCAAAAAGAATGTAAATAGAATTAAAACCATTCAAAGATGACAAATATATGTTTGAGAACAAGTTGAAGGCTAACCATATTCGAGCATAGCACTTCTCAAGCTGCTTTTTGAGTGCCCTCTCTCTCACCCCCTTTCGGTTCAGTGAGCCCATCAAAGCATCAAGCTGTTAATGAAATAGAGGGGAGATCATTAAAGTTTGAAGAGAATAGATAACACACAGTTTGAATTTATGCAACATACCTCTTCCTTGGTACTGTAATAGCCCCACAGCGCTGAGTCAGAACTTTCTATAAATATCCTCCCATCACGTCGGAAAAACCAATACCTGTTATAAATCTTGTCTTTTCCCAAAGGATTGTTGCGAATGAATCTTTTCTCTATCTCCCGTTCAAGATATTCTTTCTGCAGGATACACTGTGTTAAGACAACATAAAGAGAAAACCAAGCTCACCGGGGGGTGGGGGGTTGTTCATATGAGTGAGCGAGCGCACACACAGACACGCATAAACACACACACACACACACACACAGAGAGAGAGAGAGAGAGGAGCTTGCACCCTCTGTTCTTTACTCCTTTTTTCTGTTGCTTCATTTCGATCATCCCCTGTCAGTTTCAGAGCTCCCTTCATGGATGAATCTTTTATATTTTCTACCTCGACCTCTCTATCAATTTTCTTCTTCACATTCTTCTTCAAAATGTTGTCTTCTTGCTTACTCTCCCTGTGAGAAAATTAGAGATAACCCCATATCCTATGTAACTCATAATCCAAAATGTTTCATTAGGAAAAGTTAATTCGGACCTTCTTTCAAGTGCATGTTTCTGCTGAGATGAGTGAACCTTCATATTCTTTTTCTCCAAAGCCTCTCCATTTTGTCTATTGTGATTGTCATTCACTGGTTCATGTGATTTTCTTCCTAGTGACTCCCCACTAAGCCCTTTTGTTGTTTGATTGCCATCAGACTCCGCTTTCAAACGTTCTTTATCTCCCCTCTTCTTTCTAGCTTCCTCTAGTGCTTCCACTCTTCTTGTGGCTGCAAGTGCCTGCCGCTGTTCGATATACTCATTCAACTTCTCCCTAACAACATCTGTGGCGAGGGCTTGATCAACCAATTCCAGGAAGATTCTCAATTTAGCATAAATGTCTACAAGGCCATAATGACCCCTCCTAATTGTTGTTATGAGAGTTGATAATTCAGCAACGTCAATCATTTCTAAGAAATCACACAAAAACTCCGTCCAAGTAACTAATGTAATCTGAAATAAGAAGGCAACATCAGAGGATATCGACAACGGCACTATATTGAGGGAGAAACAAGAAAGCACCTTAGGAGATGAAGATATAGGTATTTAATTCTTCCAACAAAGAGGATATTAATCCTTGTGTGAATTATATAATTTAAGATAACAAAACTGACTTGAATATTGCTAGAATATCTGACCTTTGGTTTTCGCTTTTTATTCTTGACAAACACAGAATATTCTCCATTATCTTTCATAAGCAAGCGAAGAAGAGCAGAATGAGACTCCACAATGAGAGTCGGATTGCTGTCCTTATGGCAGAGAGCACTTCTAAAATCATCAAGAGAGAATGGCCATAAGTGCAATAGCCTGCTAAAAGAAGAACAAAAATCCCAAACCATTAAAAGATCGCCAACGCAGTCCATGGGAACATTAAAGTCCCTCGATGGCGAAGGGCGTTCAGTGAAAACTGGATCATCTGCAGCAGGTTGCACCAACTGATCATCGATTGGATATTTAATGGGCTCTTCCTTCAGTTTATCATCTTCTGTAATTTTGAGATAAATTAAATGAAAAATAAAACACACACACAAATTATCAAAATGACAATTAATAGACTCAAAAGTCCTAAGCCTTCGTAAGGGAACAATATAAGGACTCCAGCAAAAAACCATCTGAACAAGGAACAAGGATTGAGGCAACCCACCCCCCCCCCCCCCCCCCCCCCCCCCACACACACACACACACACACACAAAAAAAAAACACACACACACACACACATCCCACCACAACAAATAAATAATAATAATACATGTCAATTAAATACAAAGAAATACTTAAAAAGATTTTTAGGAAAGAATGTGGCTTTGACTATAAAGGCAATAATCTAAGAACCACCACCATCGACCTGGCTATAAGCCACAATTAAACCTACCTTTCTCTACATTGTTCCTAAAGATCAAGGCTTCAGTTTTCTCCCGCCCCAGTTTTTTTCGTTTGCGTTCTCTAGATTCTTCTTTATCTGCCTCCTGAATATGATATATTATTAAGAAATGTAAATAATATCAAAAATCATATATTCCATGGGGAGAAAAAATCAAAGTAAACCAAAACAATTACCATGGTATTTTGTCCATCTTCCTCATTTTCTCTTTTTTTCTTATTGATGACTACACGTCCATCCTGGAAGAAAATTTTGGTTCTTAATTCTTCTGGAGGATCAGTAGAAATTCCATGCTTCTGTGCCAATTTATCATGTAGCACCCAGGGCACGCTTCGATATGTGGATTCTCTGATGAAAGACTTCAGAACATCTCTACTAAAAGGAAGCTTCTTCCGTACCAAATCTTCTTCATTTACTACAGCACTTCCAGTTATTTTCTTATCTTCGTCAAGCCATGCTACCTCGTATCGGGTTCTGTCAGCCTCTTCCTCCAGAACTTTCACAATTTTGCATGGATAAACACGATTATTCCTCCTTCCACACAACTCAATGCCCTCTAACAATCGTTGCTGTAAATTAGCAGCAATTGAGTTGACAAGATCTTTCAGTGTGAGCATGCCTGCAGAAACAAATGGTGGTCATTAAAGAAAATAAGGCAAACAACAAATAGGAACAGGAGAAGCAGATGATAACTAAACTCGAACGGAGTCAATAAGATCAAAATAATCCGCCACACGTACTTAGAACAAGAGCACTTTATCCGTAACTAGCACATTGTGTGTGTGTGTGTGTATTTCAAACTAGCACTTTATCTATGTAACATAGGATCTACGTATACAAATAGACTTGTTTGAGAACTTTTACAAACATCACTGAAATGTTTTCAATCAATTCATTCAAATCATCAACATTCTGATTCTTCAAATTCAAAAAGATCATGGTAGGTCTTATCTAGTTGTTAGTTAGCAGTCAGCTGTTGGGCAACTTCCATTTGTACAATGCTATTGGACAAGGGCTCACCACACTAACCATTAATGTCACTTTCATACTATACCAAACTTACACACTACTTTTTGATTCCATATATTACAGAACTCGCAATTCAAAAGGTCAAGAGAGAGAGAGAAACTGGACTATCGAGTTGGAAAATAAAACCCCATATTTTTGTAGAACCCTGCAAAATTTCCCCACATTTTTTTTCCCCCGGAAAATCAAGCAAATTCCCTCACGTTTTCACTCTGTGTGAAAATAGATTATAGAAAGTCATGTGCACCACACAACATACTGGCCAGTAAGTCGTTTCTTTTTCAAACGAATGTACTCATCATCATTCTTGCCTTTATCCTGTACAAACGGTGTCGGCCAGATGGATTTTCTTCTTCTTTTTTCTTAACCAAGAATAATTTTACCTAATTCTGAATTATTTATGTATGCTTCCAACTAGGAAAAAAAAAATTATGTATGCTTCTGTACTGCATTTTTGAGTTTCTGTTCATTGTCGTGTTACTCCATAGTAATAGAACAATTTGCAAGCTGGAAATTTGTTCTTCATTGTTCTGCATTTTACATTCAGGTTCCTAATCTTTTCTTGGGTAGTTATTCTGGGAATATATCTTGTATGGAGGGTCAGCCATCCTAATAATGATGCAAGATGGCTATGGTTTATGTCTGCAGTTTGTGAGATTTGGTTTGACTTCTCTTGGCTCCTCTATCAGCTTCCCAATCTCAGTCCTGCCTATTTTTTCTTTGTCACTTTCATTTTCATTTTCATTTTCTTTTTCATTTTGTAAGAGAACTTATGTAATTTTATCACTCCACAAATGATTGAATGGCACAACGGTCTTGTTTAAAATCTTTTATGGTTTTTGTCTTTTTCCTGAATTTTAGGGGCATTATTTTGCAAATGTGACATAATTCAAACAGATTTTTTTAATTTTGCCCTTCCAAATATTCATTTCCGAACTTAAGTATTTTATAAACTTTTAATTCCAAAGAAAGACCCCAAATTGGCAATTTCGAACTTATCATCCACAACTTTTTGTTTCAAGTCAATATTATTTTTTCTTTTCTTTATATGTGAGTTGATACTATGTCATCAAAACACAGATGTTACATGATTAATTTAAACATATGCAATAAAAGCAAGTTATATGCATAACAAGGATTATAAACTCGAAACATTAAATACAATTCTTAACATAGAGGACCTAAACCAACCTTAAGGATCAAATTCTTGTATCTTCTTTCAGTCTAAAAGTATACCTAAAGAGCCAAAAGTATTTCTGCATCAATTATGACAAAGGAAAAGCGGAAAGGACTCTTGCACAAAGCAGCCAATTGTTGATTTCTCAAACAAACTAGACGATTTTTAACTATTTATTTATTTTTTAGGGGAGGGAAGGGAAAGAAATCAATAATTCTTTTTTTTTTTTTAATACTAGTTCAACATAATTTTTGACAACCAAGATCAAGTCTTCCACGAAGCACTAGGTGTTGAAATCCCTCAACACCTTCTTTCATGTAATTTTCATGCATGCTTCACAAAGTCCTACATGTAAGGAACCCAATTTACGAATACAGGCTTTAGCAATAATGCCTCTGTGCAAACAATTTAGTCCAGCTGAATGCAATTCAGCTCTCCACATAAGTTGTTCTTAATGAAAAATAAATAAAAGGTGAATTAAAAAAATAGAGGAAAAAAAATGTTGCATATATATTCAATTAAAACCATGAAATGAATATTAGTAAAATTTTATTGCTAACAACGGCCTGAAATTTAATTAATAGGTGCTGCCTCAAAACTAATTTGGGGGAGAAATTGTAAATCGATAGGGGAGTTAGTGGATTTTGTGGATATGTAGAGTTTTTAGGGGCTTGGTCCTTGTGTAGTTTTTGGGATGCGTACCCTTCTGAGCGTTGTCTCTAATACTTCACTTATTTCTACTCTTTTTTGTTGGGTTTCAGGGAGAGTTTATAGATCTATGGAGGAAATTATTGTTTTTTTGGCCTCTCTGAAGGTCTAAGGCGCCCTTTGGCCCTTTTGTTCCTTTTGTTTCTTTGGGCTTCGCTCCCCTTTTTGAGCGTTTTTAATAAAATCTTACTTATCAAAAAATATATATATATATATACATATATAGAGGCCATTGTTATCAAACTTAAACCTTTTCATAATCATCCTCTTAAAATGGCTCGTATAGTTTCCCTTTCTTCTAAAAGAAATCCATGCTTCCTCAAGATCTTCTCTACTAAAAGCATATTGGATCTCTATACAAGAGAAGAAGCACGCGAATAGTCGACACCTTTCGCAGCTTAAATTTAAGAGAGACATGCTTTTTTCATTATTCCAAGACCAATACCACAATTTATTTTCCATCAAAGGCATGATTATTCCATCATCTTCAACCGACCAATGATCATCCTTGTGCTTCTTTAAAGAATTTAGGCCTACTTGAGCATCTTTATTATCAACCTCTTCAACTAAAGTTGGAGAATTTTCAATAGCAAGACTACATTCTTCAACTTTTCGGAAAAAGAGTACATTCTTCAGAAGAAACCAATTCTAGCACTTCGTTACCACTGTTTTCTCTTCAAAATACATAGTCAATTTGCTCTCTTTAGCCAACCTTCGGAAGTAAATTGAAAAATTAAGCACGTAGTTGTCAAGTAATCGCTCCCCTAATCTTCAATTCTGCTCATGTCTTCACACACACTAGTTAAAAGGGTATGCAATAGTTTTTGTAGACTTTTTTGATAAGAATAGTTTTTTGTGAAAGAACATCACTTTCTTCTAATATAGGAGTGATTTTTTTTTTTATAAGTAAAGATTCATAGAAACGCACGCTCAAATTGGGAGCACATCCGACAAAAACTATACAAGGACCAAATAGGGCCCCCAATCTCTCAATATGTCCAAAAAAATCCACTATCTCCCCCAAAGATTTACAATTTCTCCCATAAACCCACCCACAAAGAGAACTAAGTACAGAAAACTTAAGCGCCCCTATAGGAGTTTCCTCGCGATCAAAGGATATCCTATTCTGTTCCTTCTACAAGCTCCACCACATACACAAAGGTGCCACCCTCCAAAACACGCGAGCTTGGGAACCCACTGTACATCCTGTCCAGATTATCCTATCACTATCAATCCGATAACAGCCAACAATCGGCATGTCTGTCCATGGAAATCCTGAAGAGTCTTGGAAAAGGGCACACCAGGGTCGTATCACAGCACCATAGATCCTCCCATAAGCAGAAATCCCTAACTCCCCGAATCTTGAACCGAATGTATTTAAAGAATCCATCCCACCCCTTCCTGATGAATTCCCATACACCCACCCCTGCTCGGCCCTTCCCTTTATAGTGCACCAACCACCCCTCTCCTCCCCAAATCTATAGCAAATCACCCTCCTCCATAAGTTGCGTCTCTCCATACCAAATCTTCAAAGCCACTTGCCCAAAAGAGCTTTGTTGAAAGGCGTCAATCTCCTAATCACCAAGCCTCCCACCTGGATTGGACAGCAAACCTGTTCCCAACTCACAAGATGGTATTTGAACTCCTTCCCCATACCACCCCAAAGGAAGCTCCGTTACTGCTTAGATGAAAAACGCACTCTGAATGACAATCCCTCATCTCTATTAGAGAAACTGTAGGAACATGTAAACAATCAAACTCATCACATTCCATCTAGCATTACGAAGCATAATTGACCCATGCAAATGTGTCAATAATTTTGACCCTCCTACTACAAGAAGGACCAATCTATCATATAGACTTGCAAAAGATCATACAATCATCTGAAGATTAAAATACTTCCTTCGTCTCATCATCGTTATAAGGAAGATCTGATGTTGTGATCTATGTTATCTCACTGAGGCGTGAGGCTACGACAATTTCATCATCATCTCAGTGCTATGCGAAAGTGCTGCTTTTATTGACATGCACAGATCTTGTTGTACCTTGTATAGAAAGTAATCAACTTGATAAAGCAAAAGGAGGTCATTGACTGATGATGGAGGTTGGAGAAGCCTAATTTTTCAGAGCTTCTCTTCAAAATTGAACCTGCAAATGTCATTCTTTCCAATGCTCACTGGTTCACACATTACTTCTTTGGACTTAGTGAGGACTTGGGCAAGCAAAAAGAGTTCATTGACTGAAGACGGAAGTTGGAGAAGCCTACTTTCTCAGAGCTGCTCTTCAGAATTGAACTGGCAAATGCCATTCTTTACTCTGCTAACTGGTTCACAGATTACTTATTTGCACTCTGTTAAGACTTGGGCTGATCTGAACTGATCCTAATGTCAAATTTGTTGGGTTAAATCTTATTGAAATGGGTCTGGGCTGTTGGCAAAATTTTTAACATGGATCGGATCTAGGGCTAGAGGCTAGAGCTAAAATTTACATTTGGGTCAGCTCCGAATCTAAGCTTTACGTCTAGTTGGATATGGGATGGCTCAGCAGCCTCTGGTTCAAAGCTGGTTCAGGTTTAATAAATGGATAAGATTTGGTAAATAACAACCCTTTTCCTTGTCCAGTCAAGATCTGTAGTGGAAGAGAACAGGAGCTGTGTAGCAAACCCTACAACAGCAAAGGTCATGCGAGATTTCAGCATTGATAAAACAAGACAGTTAGAAGTTAGGCTTGAGGCAATGCAGCATTTCCAATGAGGTGACAGCACAAGAAGATGGCAGCTATTTTTGGGCTTCATGTTGCCTTCAGCTGGTCTTTTTAACAATGGTTGACTCGTGGCAGCAGCGGTGGTTCACAACAATGGCAATGACGGCTGGAGTTAAGTGCAATGTTGATGGTAAAAACTTGAAAACAACGAATCAACGTCAGTGATGGCTACATGATCTAAGCTCTACTCACAAATCTGAGATGGTGAAGATGCAATGGCAATGATACAACACAGAGGAGTCGACAACGACAAACAAGGAGATAAAAATGCGTGAATGATTGCTGGTTATGGCAGATTTCTGATGGTTGACGGTTGTAGTTTGGGTTTTGATTGGATTTTGGCAAAGGATGCCGATGGTAATCTTGAAGGGGACACAATGATGACATAGCAAACTAGGACCAAGGTTGCATATCCTATGGTTTGTGCATAGTGAGTTTTTGATGGGTTTGTTGATTACCGGCTATGATGGAAACAAGGCTTTGTTGGATAGTGTTAGCGGGGCTTCATTGACAATCATTTTATGTTTTTTAGGCTGATGGGTTTTGGGTTTGCAGAGGCTACAGAGAAGAGGGGGCTTGGAGGCGAAGGAGAACAAACTACAAAGACTAGGTTCAGCAGTGCTGCTTGATTTTGTTCATGAACTGTTGAGATGGAGAGTCAAATATTTAACCTTGATTGAAGTGTGCTTTGATTGTTTTACTCTATCAACGGCAAATCAACACGTTCTTGAAATCTCTCTTACCGATACTAATTTGGTGTTAGGACGTATAATGTTGTGATGCAAAACTGATGTAGAACTGAAGGAGAAAGACGAGAGAGAAGAAAACAAAGAGAAGAAAGAAAAAAAAAGTGGATGAGAAGACAAGGAAAACTGATGTGAAGATTGAGAATGGGGTGAGACAAAGAAAGAATGGACGCAGAGAAATCTCTTGAAGTCACAATAATTGTTCAAGGAGACCTATGGATCCCATAAGAAATCTCAGTACCAAGACAGGAGCAGCATCAATACCCAAAAAGGGAAAAAAAAAATATATATATATATATATATATATAGACAAAAGAGTCTTCTGATATTAGAGTTGCCATATAAAATACATATATTTTTTTTTATAAGCCATATAAAATACATATATAATTTATACACAACTCATTTCCCTATGATTTGAACTCTTAACAAACCCTATTCGAAACAAGTCTCCACATTTGGCCTAAGTACAAGGGACAATACAACTAATCCCCAAAATAACAGTTTATCTTCATTTTATTAATTAAAATGTGTTTGATGAATGCATACCCAAACCCCTACATCATAAGATGAATTTAGTGATATTCAGACACACATACGCAGTTAACATCGAAACCCAATTCATGTGCACGACAAAAGCAGTAGAACTAATTAGATATATGTCAGTGGAACTTCCCATAGATATTATGAAAACGATTGTCGCAAATAAATAGCTAAAAAGAGTTCCGGTGCATTTTATACAAGAAGTCTTAAAAGATTACAAAGCACAACCGTAATACTAACAACAAGAAGGCAGAGAAAGAAGAAGAAAAAGCAACAGAACATGTAATGTAAATGTAATGCACTAGAGTGAGTTCTTACTGAATTGGACATCGCGGAGCACGGGCACTACTAGTTCTTTGGGGAATTGTTGAACCTTCTCAGTTGCCTTTCTTTCTGACACCAATGCCTCTTCATAAGTAAAGTTAGTCTTTCCAGTAACTTTACATGTCCAAATTCTTTGGCGATATAGATTTATCCGGTTCAGGTATTCGCTATAAATTCATGTTAAGAGTTACAAAGCAGACAGATGGCACAGAAATATCAGTAACAATTCAATACCAAATCAGTGTAGGCTGTCAGTGACATCAAATTGAAAAATTAGAAAAAGAGAAGGATACCTATAATCCCTATATATCTCTTTCGTGAAACGAACTTGAAATACAAGCTCCTCCGGCTTCAAATCCTTGGGCCTTTCCAACAGAGGAAAAGGTTTTCTTTTGTATAGAGGCATTATCGGACAACAAGCAATATGCAGTCTACATTCAACAACAAACGTAAGCAATTGAGAGAGAGAGGGACTTGTCAAGTTCACAAAAGACTTTGAAAATTCGTACAAGTGTTGGTTTGAATTAGTCAATTCGAAGTTCTAAAGAATGCAATAGCAATAGAGAAAACCCAGAAAACAAACCCAGATGTGTCCGTCAAATGAAAAACCCTAGAATGTTTTGTATTGGGGATCCTGAAAACCAATATAGGAACACAAAAATAAAATATGACAACTCAAAAACAAAATGTTGCATGTTGTTGGACTATACATGAGTGACCCATTGAACTATGTACACAACCCAACAAAAAAAATAACAAAATTTGAAGGAATGAGTGCATTGAAAAGGAAACATTCAATGGGAATACAAAATTTTTCATTCCCGCCAGAACTCGATCTTCCAGTGCAGAGCATGATTGAGAGCGAAGAGCTTTAGAGAGAGAATAAGGAGAGAGAGAGATATATTACCACTAAAAATCTGATTAATGCACCGGAGGAATTTGTGTTGAGGCGAGAATCGAGAGAGCGGTGTTTCGTTTTGTGTATATTTGACGTGTTAGCAAAGCGTTTCTCTCTCTATATTTCTTTCTCCGTTGGCCGTCTCGACTCTCGAGTTGTGTCCCTCCTTGTAGGAACAATTTTTTGAGATATATAAATGCTAATTTATTCAGTTCTGACCCTGAGTATCTGCTTAATTACAAAAAAGACCCAAATAAAGTCACTTAAATTGATGCTGCATTTGCGGGAATGGAATGGAGGGCCCATTTTAACTATTCATATGTTTGGTATGTAATTTAGAGTGGGACTTTGGAATGAAAATACATTCCACAATTAAACCTATGGAATGACCATTCCATTTCTAAGTAAATGTTTTTTAAAAATCAAAGTCCGCAAAAAACCCTCATGTTTCAAGTCCAAAAACTGTCGGTCCCACCTTTGAATTAGGGTTTGTCCTTTAAAATGTCAAAAATTCCATCATAGGTTCTTGAGTAGGCTAGAAGTGATATGGGCCGGATATGAACCGCGAACATGGCATCCGGTCCGAGCAGCTGGGTCCAGCCCATAAAGAAATACTGCCATATGGGCCGAACGCGAATAGCCCATCGAAGATGACCAAAGCCCACAGAGGAACAAGCCCAGATCTAGCAACCCATTAATGTTTGTAAATACCTATAAATATGAGAAGTAATGGGGAGAGAGATTGATTCTGTTGAAGTGTAAGAATTCTAGAGAGAGAAAATGGAAATGAATTCCTTGCATCTTCAATTGGCGCTGTCTGTGGGAATCGTTGAAGATTGATTGATCATTGATCAATATCGCGTGGATTCAGACCAATTCGTGAAAACGAAACTCGATCTTTGGGAGTTGGATCCAGATCTGAGAGATTGTGACCTATTCTGGAGGAATTTTAGTTCTGTTGCTTTGACGGAAGTGGCTTCAGATCTACGCAACAACGAGTTGTTCGATTGCGGCCGGATCTGACGGATTTAGAATTTGGAGAATTCAGATCTCGTCAACCGTAAGCATAACTCGGAGAATTCGAGTCCAGATCTGAAAAATTCGCGCTCACGAAGCTCAGATCTACTCAAGAACTTGAGATTAATGCCTTTACTCCGTTCAGGAATAATGATAGGTGAAAGCTCCAATCCGATAGAGGCTGTCCAGCAAACGAAGCTTGAGGAGTTGATGAACTTGATCGAAGCTCTCAAAAGAGAGAATGCAGAATTGAAAGCTGGAATGCAGCATCAGCAAATATCGGCGGTTCCGCGTCCACTTCCGGCCGGTGAAGGAAGTATTCAATCTAATATCACACATCAAGGCGAGCAGGACGAGAACAATCAGTCAGCTCTCCACCGTGATGAAAGGAGGATGGACGATTTGCCGCCAAATGTTCGTCGAGTTGAGGATCACGAAGGATCGACTCATGTTGATCCGCGACATGAGCAGATCAGACAGAACGAAGCCATGACCTTTGATCCGCATCAGGAAAGGTTCAACCGAGAGGAAGTGATAGAGGTTGATCGCCGCTGAGTTGTATCGCCTTGGCAAAGAGAGCTCATTGAGGAACGGTCATTCGATCCGTCTTACCGGCCCTCCATGGCTACACTCACTCATCGCGGTTCGGAGAGCAGATCTGTAGCTCATAGAGCTACCGCTGGGCTCCAAAGAGAGAATGAAGCACTCCGATCCGCGGCTCGGACAGTTGATTCACCATTTACTGATGAGATCCTGAATGCTCCGTATCCAAGGAAGTTTGCCATGCCAGTCTTTATTCTGTTTGACGGAACAACCGATCCGATCGATCATGTGTACCATATCCAGTTGAAGATGGCTCTGAATACGGAGAACGACTCTTTAATGTGCAAATGTTTCCCTACAAGTCTAGCCAGACCGGCGCTTAGCTGGTTCAAGAACTTGCCTAGGGGCTCGATTGATAGCTTCTGGAACCTGTGCGATCGGTTCATAAGCCAGTACTATGGGAACAAGCGTCCGCCGAACGACATCTTGAGCCTATTCACAATGAAACAGCACAAAGATGAACGTCTCCAGGCTTTTCTCACCAGGTTTAACCTCACTAAGAGTATGGTGATTGAATGCCACCCTTCTACAGCGATTCAAGCCTTCAAGTTGGCCATGACACGTGGCACTCCGTTCCATACCAGTCTGGTAGTGAACACGCCAACGACTATGGATGAACTTAATGAAAGAGCCGATGGCTTTGTGCGCCTGGAAGAAGAGGAGGCAGCCAATGCTCGGACAGCGTCGGTCGTGTCGACTGAGGAAAAGTCCAAGGCAAAGATCAGGCAGAAGCAGGCTCAGCCGCAAAGTCAGACCTCTTGGAAGGCAGAAAAGAGGTCCAGGGAGGAAGAGCTAATCACTCCGTTGAAGGTCACTCTGGCGAGGCTATATCAGGAGAACAAAGATAAGTTTCATCCACCACTGCCAATTAGGCAACCCCTCGAACAGAGGGATCAGACTAAACATTGTGCTTTCCATTCTGATTTCGGTCATCAGACTAACGAATGCAGGAATTTGAGAAGGCAAGTGGAGATGTTGATTGCTAGAGGGGAGTTCGCGAGTTATGTCCAAGGATCGGCGATAGAGCAGAACCGACCGATGGAGCAAGTAAAAAGAAGTCAGAAGCAAAGCTCCCATAATTCACAGCCAATTCGTATAATCAATGCTATTTACGGTCGACCCGAGCCTAGCGAAGACTCAGATGAGCTACTCCGAACGCGCCTACGGCAGGCGCAGATGAAGAAAAGGGTCAGCAGTGTGAATACTTTGCACCAACAGATTACATCGATACAGATAAAGTTCGACAGGACAGACCTGCTGCGTGTTCAAATCCCCCATGAAGATCCGTTGGTAGTCAGCTTGACAGTGGCGAACTGCCTAGTGCGCAGAGTTCTGATCGATCCCGGAAGTAGTGCGAATGTCATGCCAAGGGACACATTTGATCGGCTCGAGATTAAGCCAGAGAGGCTCAAGCCCACTGGAAATCCCCTATTAGGATTTGATGGTAAGAGGGTGGAGCCCATCGGTATGGTGGAAGTAGAAGTTCAAGCTGCAGAACTAGCTCTTATGGAAACTTTTGTGGTTGTGGAGATTCACCCCTCGTACAATCTCTTGATGGGAAGAGGATGGATTCACAGAGTCCAAGGTGTGCCCTCAACTCTGTATCAGGTCATGAGGTGCCTCAGACCCGATGGAAATAAGGTGATAGACATTCATGGGGATCAGGTTGCAGCCAAAGAGTGTTATTCTGTCACACTAAAATATGCTGGGAAAGGGAAGGCACCCATCCGTTCGGCGAGCCCAAGATAGCAATTACAGGAACCTCCACCCAAGCAGAATAGGGTGGAGGAGCCAGTTGATTTGACCGAAGAGCCCCTTCTGGATGTGCAGATCGATCAGTCCAAGCCAGAGCAAACTACCAGAGTAGGAGTAAGACTGACCAGGGAAGAGCAGCAGGAGCTAATTGACTTCTTGTCTCACAATGCCGATGTATTTGCATGGAGTCACCTAGACATGCCTGGAATTAATCCCTCCGTATCCTGTCATTCCTTGAATGTCAATCCCAATTTCAAACCAGTAAAGTAGAAGCAACGAAGGTTTGCTCCAAAACGTAACCAGATCATAGCCGAGGAGGTTGATAGGCTGCTCGATGCGGGATTCATCAGAGAAGTGCACTATCCTGATTGGTTGTCCAACGTCGTTGTCGTGCAGAAGAAGAATGGGAAATGGCGAGTATGCATTGATTTCACCAATTTGAACAAAGCCTGTCCGAAGGATAGCTTCCCGCTGCCTAAGATTGATCAAATGGTGGATGCCACCACCGGGTATGAGCGTTTAACCTTTCTGGACGCTTATTCAGGTTATAATCAGATCCCTATGGACCCGGCAGATGAAGAAAAAACTTCTTTTGTTACTGAGCGAGGGACATACTGTTACAAAGTTATGCCTTTCGGACTAAAAAACGCGGGAGCAACTTATCAAAGGCTTGTTAGCAAAATTTTCAAGGATCAAATAGGAAAGATTGTGGAAGCCTATATTGATGATATGGTGGTAAAGAGTAGGAAGAAGGATGATCATCTGAAAACATCTGTAAGATGTATTTGATGTGCTGAGGCGATATGGGATGAGGCTCAATCCAACCAAGTGCTCGGTGTGAGTTCCGGTCAATTTTTGGGACACGTGGTCAATCGTAGAGGCATCGAAGCTAGCCCTGCTCAAGCAGAGGCTTTGATTAAGAATGCCGAGCCAAAGACGATCAAAGAAGTGCAAGCCCTCACAGGACGAATAGCTGCATTAAGTCGATTCATTTCTAAGTTGTCAGACCGCTGCAAGCCGTTCTTTGACACGATCCGGAGTCATGGAAGACAGGTCTGGGGGGATGAACAACGACAAGCATTAACCCATTTGAAGGAATATATGCAGAATCCACCAGTCCTGTCAGCCCCGGATCCAAAAGAGAAATTATATCTATATCTCGGAGTATCTAGTGTTGCGACAAGTGCCGTTCTGATTCATTGCAAGGAAGGGGTGCAACACCCGGTGTTTTATGTCAGTAAGACAATGACCGAGGCAGAACGAAGGTACTCGAAGGCCGAACGGGCGATACTTTCACTCGTAAACGCAAAAAGAAAGTTGAGGAATTATTTCGAATCCCACCCTATAGCTGTCCTAACAACTTTTCCAATCAGAGTGCTTATGCACAAGCCAGAACTCTCGGGCAGAATGACAAAATGGGCCATAGAGTTAAGCTCATTTGACATAACGTATGAGCCGAGAACGGCTGTCAAAGGACAAGCGGTAGCTGATTTCCTGCTAGAATGTGACTCTGAGGATACGGAAGAAGACCTTAGATGCGGCTCTTGGAAACTTTATGTGGATGGCTCCTCTAATCAGATGGGGGCGGGAATTGGGGTTAAACTGCAAACCCCAGAGGGTACTTCTTTGAGTCAAGCACTCAAACTTGAGTTCCGAGCCACCAATAATGAAGCGGAATACGAGGCGTTGCTGAATGGGTTAAAGTTGGCCAGAGAGTTACAGGTCAGAAGTTTGACTGTTTATAGTGACTCACAGTTGATTGTTCGGCAGGTAAATGGT